GCCCACTTCCTGCCGCCGCCCATGACGGCTGAAAAGGAGGAGGAGCTCGCCGCCGCCAAAAAGGCCAAGAAGGCGGCCAAGGAGGACAAGGAGGCCGCCAAGAAGGCTGAAAAGGCCGAAAGGCCCGTCAAGCCTGCTCCTGTCGCCACCGGTTTGGCGATGGGCACGGGCATGGGCGGAGGGCCTAGCTTCGGAGCGGCCCACTTCCTCCCTGCCCCTTCCGCCGCCGCCGCCGACGCCGCACCCAAGGAGCGCCTCACCACGACTCCGCCCCCCTCGTACGCCGCCGAGCGTGCGCAGGTCGCCGCGGCCGCCTTCCACGCCCGCTCCTCGCTCGAGGAGTCGCTCGAGGACAAGTTCCGCCTCGCCGCGCTCGGCGTCGGCTCACCCGTCCTCGCCTACCGCTTCGAGAGGAAGCCCACCGCCGCCCCCGCTGCCGCCAAGAAAAAGGTCCCGCCCAAGCAGGCCGAAACCGAGGCGTCCAGCGTCTACTCGGACACGACCCTCGCTTCGACCAAGACCATGTCGTCCCTCAAGAAGCTCTTTGGAAAGCGATGAGCGGGTCCTCGCACCCGCCTTCTCATCCCTTCCGATGTACATTCAATGATTGACGGGCTTCCTCACGCCAAGACGGGCACGTCGCTACGCCACTCTGGCGCTGTCGAAACCGACCTTGGACAGGCGAGCTAGCCGACCGGTTGCCGCCGCAGATGGGGCCCGTTACTTCTCTGGCCTCTCGAGCCGCCGCAAACACCATCTCTTCTAGCTCCTCGACCAACACGGGACGCAGGACAAGGCCGCAGCGCTCATCGCTCGGGAGGCAAGCCCGACGCTCGAACTCGATGCGCTGCCGCCATCCTCCCTCTCGAGCCAGCCAGTCTCGGCACAGCCTTCGCCGCCCGCCTTGCCCGGGCCGCTCCCATCGCCGCTCCTCTTTCCTTCTCCCCCCGTTACACCCTTTCAAGATCCTGCGCGGTATCCATACCGCAGAGAAAGCCTTCGGCGGAACGAGAACAGTCGAAGAGAGGCGAAACCCTTCCCTGCCTCGCAGTCAAACAAGTTCGCTCCGCGACGCTGCGACCGGCAACGACCCAGACCCCCTGTTTTGTAGACCCCTCGACGAGGCCTTTCGATGGAATCGAGAACGAATTGACTGGATAGTGCTCCGGCTTTGCGCTCAGAATGGATAACCAGCCAGGACGGTGACCGAAGGCTCTCGCAAACCGCCAGAGGGCAGAAAGGCTTGCTGTGGCTGTGGAACACAAATAGTGCAAGGGCGCACGGGCAGCACTACGGCAGCAGAAGTAGCGCGAGCGTGACGAGGAACACGTGCGTCGCCAACACCGCTTTCGGGGCAGATGCGATCGCAGGGGCGGCAGAGGGCAGGTCGACGTTCCTGTGCGCGGGGAAGGGAATGGCGTGCTTCGCGGTTCAGCGCGCATTCGCCTGCGCGAAGAATATCAACCACGCAGCCATACTCACTTGCACTCAAAGTTCAAATGAGCGTCCGGACCGGTGAAGGCGGCGGTGGACGCCACTTTTTTGGCGACGGGCCGGAGGGGGTAGGGGCAGATGAGCCTCGAAAAGGCGACGCCGTACTCGTAGGATCGCAGCTCGACCGGAAGACGGTTGTGGTCCGGGTCCGGCTTCTTTGTGGGCAACTGGGCGCTGCGTGCAGCGTATGACGCGCCGACGAGGTGCTGCGGCGCGATGCCACGCTCAACCCAGGCGACGAGGGCGAGGATCACGTCGGACTCGGAGTCGTACCGCAGCGGGCGATTGCCCGGATCCGTCTGCGTCACCGCTGCTCGTCAGAGGTGTCAGGAGAGGGGAGTGGTCGTGTATCAGCGCGACGGCGGTTTCTCGCGGCGCGTCGCTGAACCGAAACAGACGTGCACCTACCTCCAATCTGCCATGGCCCCGATCCGTCGCGGCAGTGCTTCATGCCGGGGATCTCAAAGTACCGGTAGGACTGGTCGATGTCGATACCGGCGTTTTCTTTGTCGCTGTGGACGCGGTTGTAGTAATTGCGACTGGCCAGCGGACTGATGCGGAGGTCCGCCAGGCCGGCGTAGTGGATCAGCTTGCCGCCGTTTTTGAAGAAGGGCGCAAGGTTCTGGTCGACGGCAAGAGGACGGCGGCAGAATTGGAATGATACGCGTGAGCCTGGCAGCGCGCGGAGAACACGTACGTCGCTCGTGGCAGCGGCTCGCTCACCGTCTTGGAGACATCCGAGCCCATCAGGTCGGCTTGCTGCCACTGCCGGATCTCGTCGAGCGTAAAGAGGTCCGCGTACGCATCCCTGTTCTCTTGCTTGGTGACGTTGAGTTCGCCCTTGTCGGCCAGCAGCAGCCAGTGGATCGCCTTGTGCGCTTCGCCCTCGAGAACGTCGCCAGACTCTTCGGCACCTGGCAAAAAACCCGGATAGACTTGCTGTCCTTCCAGCATGGTTGGCTGGTAGATTCGAGCGAGGTTGAGGACCTGGTCCGCGATAAGGCACCCGTCGCTTGGCTGTTGGCCCTTGCGACAGAGGATAGGGCCAAAGTTCGGAGTGCAAAGCTCCGGCAGGGTGATGACGCCGTCGGTGACCTTGTCGAGATGGTCGCACTCCTGCAGCACCGACGTCCTAACCAGGCTCTGAAATGTCTGATCGGAGAAGTACGCCGGACCTGCGACCGACTTGCGATGCCGGGCCTGCAGCCCGATCTGTGCATAGTTGAGTGCGGTGAAGTTGACCGCCGGACAGCCTGGAAGGGTCAGACGTTCGACGGGCTCAGTCAGGGCGGGCGGAAAGGCGGTCGAGACTGGCGGTCTGCACAAGGGGCTCACCTGCTAGGGCGCCGTCGAAGGAGTCCGGATAGTTGAGGATGGCCGAAAGGGTCCCGGCTCCGCCAACCGAGCAGCCGGCCACGTAGGATCGGACGTGCCTCTTGTCCCCATCGCCGCTCCGGACGCCGCTGTCTGGTCCGTAAAAGAGATTGACGATGCCACGGCCGACATCGAGGACTATGGCATGGGAGCGGCCTCCGATGAAGTCCATCAGCCGTTCCTCGCGGACGGGCTGGGGCCCAGCCACCCAGCCGACATCGGAGCTGCCGCCGAAGTGGCCGAGGTTAGAGCCCATAACCGCAAAGCGATACCGGCTCATCATCTGCTTGAGATCCGGGATGGGGACGAATCCTCGCTGGGCCCCGTTGCCCACGAAGAAGATGCGGCCGTTCCAACCGTCGCTGTTGCCCAGAATTGCGTCGCCTTGCAGGGTCGCGTTTGGGGCAGCAGGCGGCGCTGCCCGCCTCTTCAGACCGGTGTTGGCGATGCCGATGTCCTTGGTGCTGTCGGAAACCTCGAGCCCGGTGTCGTCGTCGAGATCGTCAGGGTCGTCGAAGGCGATGCCGTTCTCGCTCGGATCGTTGGTGTTCAGATCTCCGAGGTTCGCTGGGGCCTGGAGGAATTCGCCTTTTGGTCCGAGGTAGATCGGCGTGCTGTTCCTCGGAAAGTCGGTCACATTGGGCGGGACCAGAGGTATGTTTGGATCGCTGGCCAGCGGGAGCCACGCTTCAAAGAAGGTCCACGTCGCATGGGAAGTCTGGATGAACCCGCCGAGCCTGGCGCGAGGAGAGCGCGAGTGAAGGAACACGTGTCAGCTGCTCCCCCAGAGGACGAGATGATTTGGGCACCCGAGTCCTGACTCACCGGCAGAAGGCGGGCAGACCTCCGAGCGGTCCGTTGCCGGCAGCGCGCGTGTTGGCCTTACCGTAGCCGAAGTCGCGTTTGATGTCGACGTCGCTGCCGAGCGAAGAGAGGATGCCGGACAGCTTTCTCTCGGTCCTCTGGTCCAGGACGCCGTCGGGGTAGACGTCGGTCAGCAGCTCGATCGACGGGTTGCTCCCCTCAGGGTAGTACTGCGCAAAGCTCGAGTTGAGGCTGTAGACGTCGTTGAAGAAGGCAGGGAGATTGGCGCCGAGGTAGGTGCACATGCTGGCTGCGTAGTCCCCGGCGACGGAGGCGAACTTGCCGACCGTCGGGTTGAAGTTGGAGATGTCCGGAACCGAGTATGGCAGCTGGGATGGCGATGGCGGCCCGGTGGGACGGTCGTTGGATATTCGCCCGTTGTCTGAAGCCTGAGGGCCATCGAATGGCAAGCCTGCCGGGTTGCCTGTCGCCGCGGCTTGCCTCCGACAGCGCCTAATGGCGTGAGCATTGTCGCAGAGGGCGGCGACGCTGAAGAGGGCCAGCAGCGCCGTGCAGCGTGGTGGCAACCGCACCATCGAGGGGTCTTAAGCTGGGATCGAAGATGCCAATGTCGAGCTCGAACAGCGACAAGAGAAGGGAGAAGGCGCTGCCGGCGAAGAGGTTGGCTGCGCGTCGCTACACGTTTGCGCCCGTGGCGATGCCGGTGGGTGGCGATAGGTGGATGTGCCGTGCGTACGAGGTTGGTGGAAGCGTTGTGAAGGAGGGTTCGGATGGTGGCTGGTGGCCAGGAGAGACGAGGTCCATAAGTAATCGCCCCGGCCCGCAGCTCGGTGGGGCTAATAATCTGTCAAAGGGAATCTGAGCCTCGAACGGCGCCAGCGTCTCACGGGTCGATTGCCGCAATGCAAAGGTGAGAGGCTACAGTACGCCAGCACTGGCCATGGTCGATGCGCGCAGGCTGGCATCGAAGTGCAAGCACGCACCCCGTGGCTACATGTATGTATCACACACACGCCGTCACCCGTGGGGTCGATATCGGCGGTTGGCGAGGTGGATATTTAATCATCTACGCCGCGACTAAGAGCCGGCTAGCCTGGCCCGCCCCACGTCAGGGGGGCTTGCGCCGCGGCGAGCAGACTCGGCTCCCCTTAGCTTGCGAGGCGCGGCAGAGGGGGAGCGAGGGCTTGGGGCTGAGCCATTTGGCGCCGAGATTCATTGATCAAAGGCCGTTCCAGCGAGATGCGTCTGCTGGCGTCGCATCGACGAGGCCGAGGTGGTGGTGGCAGCGAGGATCCTGAATTGGGCTTCAGAGAGGAAGGGGTCTGCTTGGCTGCCAACCTCACGCGACCGAATTCCATCTGTCGGATTCAAGACGGGATTTTCTATTTCGGGGCGTCTGAAAGGGGGGCGGAGCGGGGGGGGGGCTGTCCTGTGGGTTGCGTGGCGTGGCAGCCTTAGCACAAAGACAGGGCGGTGCGCGCGCCTGAGCTGGCCTGCAGAGTGGCCTGGCCTGGCCACCCTCCACAACCCTGGGTTGCCTGGCGGGCTAGCTTGCTTTCCTCGCCACCGCCACCGTCACCCAACAACGAATCGCCAACCCCGCCCTATCTTAACCCCCTCTCTGCCCTGACCATCAGCAGCGCACCGAGGATCGCCATCGCAGTCGGCCCAGCGCATCCTCAACCTCCAGCCCGAGCCCAGCTCGAGCGCTCGTCGCCCCAATGACCTCGTCAAAGCCCTCGCCCAAGAGGCACGCTGCTCGCAAAAGGCGCCTCATCGCCACCCTCCTCATCGCCGCCTTCCTCGCCGCCTCCGGTACATTCTCTCCCACCGTCGCCGCCGCTTCCCTACACCAGAGGGGACAGGCTCCCTTCGCCGACTCGTCTCTCGACCCCCAACCCTCCTCCTACTCCCCATCCTCGAGCGCTTCCGCACCGCCACCCGCAACTCCCTCCAGCCTCTCCGCCACCCACGCCCTGTCGCAGGCGCACAAGCCCTGGCTCATCGCCGCAAAGGACGCCGCACTCGCAAAGGTCAGCAGCTTCGTCTATACCGCACTCCCCGACCCGCGCTACTTTTCCTACGACATCGACCAGTTTGCCCAGTCCACCGACGAATCGGCGACAGACTCGGGCCTCTTTGGCGAGACGGCCGGCCTCAACTGGGGCGGCAGCACCCTCGAAGTCATCCGATCTCAGGCCCTCTTCCTCACCCGCGCAGCCGCCTTTGGCCCGCGCATCACGGCCGACGACGGCCTCAAGGGCTCCCTCCTGCCCATCTCCACCTTCTACCGCTCGCCCCAAAACGGCAACAAGCCTTCGGCCCACGACATCCAGGCATGCCCCTACAAGGGCGGGCCCGGATGGAAGCGCCAGGACTTCCTCAACTCCTTTGACGATCCCGACGACCGTCGCCTCTACTCGAGCTTCGCCACACCCGAGGCCGCCCATCCCACAGAGGATCGAGATCCGAGCCTACCCATCCCGCCAGAGGACTGGATCGCCCTGGTCGAGAGGGGCGGAGGCTGCGGTTTCGCCGAAAAGGTGCGCGTCGCCCAGACCCTCGGCGCCATTGCCGTCGTCGTCGGCGATGCTCCCAGCCCCGACTGGCCGGGCGACCACTCGGGCAACCCAGACGAGGACGGCGATCCCGGCCTGAGCGGCAAACGCCTCATCACCATGTACGCCCCCGGCGACACCAGCGACATCCGCATCCCGTCGACGTTTGTCACGCGGCCGTCGTTCCTCGACCTCAGCCGACTCATCGACGAGCTGGAAAAGGACGAGGAAAAGTGGCAGAACGCCCACCGCGACCCGAGCGGCGAGGTCGACAAGGACCCCAAGGCCCCCAAGCGCCTGCACGGCCTCGAGATCGTCATCAGCAAGGACGACATGATGTTCGAGTGGCCGCTGATCGACTTGGGCATCCTGCTTCTCCTGCTGCCTTCGTTCATGACGGTTGCCACCGTCATCGTCCACCGCATCCGGCTGATCCGACAGAGGCGAAAGGAGCGCGCACCCGAGCTCGTCGTCCTCGGGCTGCCCTGCCTGATCTGGAGGAGCGGCGGTCAGCCATGGGAGAAGATCGAGGGACCCGACGTTGACCCGGGCCCGGGCAACGGCGGCAGCAGCGCCGACGCGGACGGCGCTGCGGCTGCTTCCTCCGACACGGATGGCCAGGACTCGCCGGCGCCCGTCACGAGCATCACTCCCGGCGACCTCGAGTCTGGTGCGGCAGCCGAAAACATCCCGCTGCTGCAAGAGGACGAGAACGGCGCCGGTCCATCGCGGCGCCCCACGCCGACCGTCAAGGTGCCCGCCCCGCCGTCGGCCAACCGCTCGCACTCGTTCCTGCCGCCAGGCCGCACCTACTTTAGCACCGACGAGTGCGCCATCTGCCTGTGCGACTTTGTCGACGGCGACCGGGTGCGCGTGCTGCCCTGCGGCCACATTTTCCACCGACAGGAGATTGACGACTGGCTCGTCCGCGTCAAGAAGCTGTGCCCGATCTGCAAGCGCGATATCACGGTGCCCATCCCGCCTGCGCCTCCTGGCCCGCCGATCCACCAGGCCTCGGGCTCCTCGAGCAACCTCGAGGCGTCCACCACCACCACCAGCAGCTCCGCCGCCGATGGCGAGGCGCAGCAGCAGCAGCAGCAGCAGCAGCAGCAGACGACGATCCAGGCGGGAAGCGCGCGCGAGGACGATGTCCCAGCCATGGAGCGGTACTGAACGACGCCTCGCCGCCGACATCCGGCTATGATGCCTTCCTTGACCTCGCATTCAAGCTCAGCCTCCTGGCCATCACGCTCACTGCCTAGCCGGCCACACGCCGCCTTGCCGGCTCTCCGATATCTCCAGCACCACTCAACGACCTGATCCGGCTTCCTTGTACGCTTCCCTGTTGCGACGTCACGAACCCCCCTTCCTCCCTCTCCTTTCATCTCTAGGTCCTCCTCCTACTCCCCCTCCATTTGTCGGCTCGCCACCACTGTATCATCCTCTCCTGGCTTCTTTCTCCTTTCTGCCTAGCCTGGTCCTCTAGCCGTCCGTTGGCACCATCACGAAGTGCTTATGCACGCCTCACCCGCCCTCTTTCATGCGACCGGTCTCCTCGTCGAAGGGGTCCGAGCGTCGGGGCTGTCTCAACAACGATGCTTGCTTCTGTCTGCGCCCGTCGAGAACGAGGCTAGGCGGTAGGGCACATCACATGGCATTACAATGATTGCAGGAGCGGCTAGGCACTGCGCCCGCTCCCTATGCCTAGAGGAGCTTTTCGAGCTCGGCGACGACGGCATCGCCGACCTCCTTGCTTCCGGCGTCGCCGCCGAGGTCCTTTGTCCGGAGTCCGCGTCCGCCAATCTCGGAGGCGTCGAGGACCTTGCGCACGGCGGCCTCGATGGCCTCGGCCGCCTTGAACTCGTGGAGCGAGTAGCGGAGCATCATGGCGGCCGAGAGGATGGTGCCGATGGGGTTGGCGATGCCGCGGCCGGAAATGTCGGGGGCGGAGCCGTGGATGGGCTCGTAGACGCCAAAGCACTTGCTCTTTCCGTCGGGCACGCCGCTGAGCGAGGCCGAGGGGAGGAGGCCGATGGAGCCGGGGATGATGGACGTCTCGTCCGAGAGGATGTCGCCAAACATGTTTTCGGTGAGGAGGATGCCGTTGAGCTTGCGCGGCGCGCCGACAATGACCATCGAGGCCGAGTCGACAAACTGGTGGTCGACCTCGAGCTCGGGGAACTCGTTGTCGACGACCTGCTGCACCGTCTTGCGCCAGAGGCGCGACGTGGCGAGGACGTTTGCCTTGTCGATGCTGTGGATCTTTGCCGGAGGGTTCTGCAGCTTGGCCATGTGGCAGGCCATGCGGGTGATGCGCTCGACGTCGGAGCGGCCGTAGGCGAGCGTGTCCCACGCCTGCCAGTCCTCGTCGGCATTGTCAAAGTTGGCCTCCTGCCGCTTGCCAAAGTAGATGCCGCCGACGTTTTCGCGCACCACGATGATCTCGACGCCCTTGACCACCTCCTCCTTGAGCGGCGAGTGGACCACGAGCGAGTCCGAGGGGAACAGGGCGGGCCGGATGTTGGCGTAGAGGTCAAACTCCTTGCGCAGCGCCAGCAGGCCCTGCTCGGGCCGGACGGGGCCCACGCCCCACTCGGGCCCGCCGATCGAGCCGAGCAGCACGGCGTCGGCCTTTTTGCACGCCTCGAGGCACTCTTCGGGGAAGGGCTTGCCGTGCTTGTCGATGGCGGCGCCGCCGAACAGTTGCTGCGGTCAGAAGTTAGGAGGGAGAGCAGAAAGGAGGCGTGGCGGCGACCGCAGTCAGCTGGGGAAGGTCGAAGAGGGCCGGCAAAAGCATGAGCACCGCCAGGCTGCACTCGACTCACCGACTGGAGCTTGATGTCAAAGTCGGGCGACTTTGCCGAGATGAGCTCGAGGACGCGGACGGCCTGCTCGATGACCTCCGGACCGATATGGTCGCCCGGCAGCACGACGATGTTGTGTGTCCTGGCAGCCATGTTGTGCGGTTGGATGCGGTGTACGGGTGTGGGTGAGTGTGTGAGAGAGAGAGCGGAGGGAGGTAGCGTGTGAGTGTGGGCGGTGATGGACGAGCGACAAGGGGTGCGGACAACGGTGGGTAGGAAGAAGGCTGGCCAACGACCTTGTTCGGGCGGACCGGGTGCGCACCGTCCATCTAGAGCGCGAGGCCAGGCCAGGCCAGGCCATTCAACGTCGCCCGCCCTGCCCTGCCTGCCACAGGCCTCGCTGCAGCTGCCCCGCCCATGCCCCAAGACGAAAGTGGAGCGAAGCTGGCCTGGCTTGGCCTGGCCTGGCTGGCCTGTGACTCACACGAGCGCGAATCGGGTCGACGGACAGCTTGGCTCGCGTATCGGGCGACTGACCCCAGCAGCTGCCTCGGCATTTCGCCGCAAGTTGGTGGGGTGGGCTCAACGTTGTGCCGCCGCTGCCGGTCGGTGCTCTCTCCCCGCAACTTCCGGCGGGCCGAGGGCGAAGCTCGCAGCATGCCCGGTCGGTGTGCGCGCGGGCCACGTACGCACGCTTCCGCTCCGACCCTCCTAGCCTGCCTCAACTGCCGTCTCGATGGTGAGCTTGAGCGTGGCCCCCGACCACCACCCACCTTCATTCAAGCAGCAGCAGCAGCAGCAGCAACCTCGCAGCGCCTTCTCGCCGTGCTCTCCTCTCGCCATCTACACGTCCATCGCCAAGACCAACGGTACCATGAGCGCGTGCGTCGTCGGACCGGCATCGATCGGCAGAGGAAGACGACCCAGGCTGATAATTTTGTCATCTCGCTGCTGTGCTCTTCTCCAGCCCTACCACCGCCTCCAAGTTCAGCGCAGATGATAGCGGCCTCCTCATCGTCTTCATGGAGCCGGGCAAGGACGTCTCGCTCGACGAGTTCCACGGTGAGTCCAGACATGTCCTTTGCGGCTCCCCCCCTCTCTTCCTTCCCCTGGTTCAATCTAGCTCACCCTGCGCGTTTGTACATCCACGGCGTGCCCCACCGCAGAATGGTACGGCAACGAGCACATCCCGCTCCGCCTTGAGTCGCTGCCCGAGTTCCGCTCCGCAGCGCGGTACAAGGTGACGGGCGCCGTCTTCCCGACCAACGCGGTCTCGACGTCCGAGGTAAAGGCGCCCGGCTGGGCGGCCATGTACACCATCTCGTCCAACGCCATCTTTGCCGACCGCGCCTACACGCGCCTGCGCGACGAGCGCTCGGCGCGCGAGGCCGACATCTTTGCGCGCATCGCCGTCGTCGACCGGCGCGCCTACCGCCTCGTCTACGACTCGGACCTCGATGCCCGCATCCACTCGCCCGCTAGGCACAATCTGCGCCCGCAGACAAAGGACGAGATCGAGCGCGAGAGCCGGTACGTCGTCGCCCACGGCGTCGAGACGGATGATGCACAGGAGTACGCAAAGTGGTTCGACGAGGAACACGCCTTCCTCCTCAGCAAGGTGCCCGGCTGGACGAGGTCGCGCAGGTTTGAGCTCGTCGACAACGGCGTCGTCGGCCACGCCGCCGACAAGCAGGGCAGAGATGCCAAGGAGGTGCCCAAGTTCCTCGCGGTGCACGGTGCGTCCCCCTTCCTCCCGCTACTCAGCATCGCTCGGGCGACCGTCACCCTCCTAGCCTGTCGACTGACCACCGCCCCTATTCCACGACCCGCGCACGCTGCCCACCCGGAACAGAGTACACAAACGACCAGCCCGAGTCGACGCAGGAGTACAAGGCGGCCTGCGACACCGAGTGGCGCGCACGAGCCATGGGCCCCAACGGCGAGCGCATCGTCAAGCGTGAGAGAAAGACGATGCAGCTCTTCCGCGCCTATGACCCCATCTCGGCGATGCAAGAAAAGTGAGGGCGCAGGCGCAGGCCGAGCGGCGGGGACCGATGGATAGGCCCCCCCCCCCCCCCCCCAGATGTAGAATGTCACGAATGCATGGTCGCGGTTGTCGCGGAAGCACGTTTTTGGCTTTTTCTGCTGTCAAGGTCGATGAGACAAGACGGCGAGCGTCGCTAGGCCTGCTGGCTCTTCTCGACCTCCTCGGTCTCCATCTGCTTCCTCTTCTTGCCCTCGGGCATCCGCATGCTCTGCGGCAGGGCGGCGACGGGCTCCCGGCTCAGCCTGGTGGCGGCCAGGCTGCGCGAGTCTTGGGCCAGGAGCGCGTCCATGACGACGAGCGCCGACATGGCCTCGACGATGGGCACCGCGCGCGGCACCACGCACGGGTCGTGGCGGCCGCGCGTGTTGAGCGTGCCGTCGGTGCCGTCGTAGCGCGACGTTGCCTGGTTCTGCGAGATCGTCGCCGGCGACTTGAAGCCGACTCTGCGGAGGTGGGAGGCGGGTGGAAGAGAGAGAGGGGAGGGAGGGAGGGAATCAGGGGCCGTCAGCCGCAGGGGTCACGGACACAGCTCGGAAGGTACCGCAGTCGGTCCGCAGGCCACGCACCGGAAGTAGATGTCCTCGCCGTTCGAGATGCCGCCCTGGATGCCGCCGGACCAGTTGGTCACGGTGCCCAGCCTTCCGTCGTCCTTGAGGATGAACTTGTCGTTGTGCCGGGAGCCGGCGACCTCGGTGCCGCGGAAGCCCGAGCCGATCTCGAAGCCCTTTGTGGCGGGGATGCTGAGCATTGCGTGCGCCAGCTTGGCCTCGAGCTTGTCAAAGCAGGGCTCGCCCAGGCCGCTGGGGACGCGGCGGATGATGCAGGTGACGGTGCCGCCGATCGAGTCGTTGTTGGCCTTTGCCAGGAGGATGCGCTGCCGCATCCTCTCGGCCGCCTCCTCGTGCGGGCATCGGATCTGGTTCTGGTCGACCTGCTCGCGGGTGATGGTGGCCAGCAGCTGCCTAAACTCCTTGGACAGGGGCTCCTCGGCCTCTTCCTCGGTAAGGCTGTCGGTGTTGTAGATGTTGTCGACCTTGCCCTGCGGCGGACCGGCGTTGGCCGCCTCGCCGTAGAAGCTCTTGCCCTCGTCGCCGTTGGCGGCGACAGGGGCGGCGGTGTTGGGCTGCGAGGGTGCGAGCTGCTCGCCCGGGTATCTTGGGACGTGGACCTTGCCGACGCTCGAGACAAAGGCGACGATCTCGATGCCGTAGGCCTCGCGGAGGTACTTTTCGGCCACGGCGCCGGCAGCGACGCGGCCGATGGTCTCCCTGGCGCTGCTCCTTCCGCCGCCGCTGCTGGCCTTTACGCCGTACTTTTCGAGGTAGGTGAAGTCTGCGTGCGAGGGGCGCGGGAAGAGGTCGAGGGTCTCGTCGGTGTAGTCGTGCGGGCGCTGGTCCTGGTTGCGGACGAGCATGGCGAGCGGGGTGCCGAGGGTGACGTCCTTTTCGACGCCCGACTGGATCTCGACGCGGTCCTTTTCGTCGCGGGGCGTGGTGAGGTTTGACTGGCCCGGACGGCGGCGCGAGAGCTGCGTCTGGACGTCGGCGGCGGTGAGGGCCATGCCGGGGGGCACGCCGTCGACGATGCAGCCGACCGAGGCGCAGTGCGACTCGCCCCAGGTGGTGACGCGGAAGTGGGAGCCGAACGTGGACATGGCGGGCTAGGGGGCCGAGGGGTAGGGGGTAGGATGGGTGGCGATGATGGTGAGGTGACGAGAGGGAGAGAGATAGTAGGGAAGAAAGAGGTGGGGTCGGTTTGGTTGAGGATTGGGCCCGAGTCATGGGCCAGCAGGCTCCCCTCCCCTCCCTCCTGAGCAGGCACCAGCCAGCGGGCGAGAAGGAGAGAGTTACGTAGAGTGGAGCAGCAGCGGCGCATGATTATCAGAAGAAAGCAGATAGAGGCTGGCGCGCCTCAACTCCCCCCGATGGGCTCCTAATCGGGCGACTCCAAGCTTCGGGAGTCGGTCGACGCCTCGGAGTCGCCTTCTCCACCTCGTGCCTCCCTCTCTCCTTCTCTCCCTGTCCCCCGTTGAGCCGCTGTTTGCCCTGCCTTGCATCTCGACCTCGATCAACCTACACACACCATGGCCTCGTCGGCGTCCGTGGGCACATCGGCATCCACCAGCGCCGGAAAGGCCCGCTCTTTTTACTCGGATTTCGGCAGGACGATACAGTGTGAGCCAGTCTCTCCCTGCCCGCGCCCCTCGCAGCTTCGCTCTGCATGCCACTGACCTCGATGCCGCTCCCGCTCCGGATATCGACCCGCTAGCCCTCGAGGCCGACATCGATGCCGCCCAGTCGACACGCGATCTCGATCCCGTCCTGCGCAGCATATCGGCCGCGAGGACGCAGCTCACCCAGGCCACCGAGATCCTCCCGGCACACGACCGGCAGCTCCACGAAAAGGTGCGGCCCCAACGAGCGCCCGAGCATCCCGGCCAGGAGGTGTAAGGCAGCGTGAAGGCTGACGAGCACTCGCTGCCCCGCATCCGCCTCTTTCCCCCGCCCTCGGGATCCTTACAGAACCTGAGCAAGCTAACGCAGCGCCTCACAGCCCGACGACAGGCGCTGCAGCCGGCAAAGGGCGGCTTCACGTTCCGGAGGACGCCCAAAGCGGCGCCGACTGCCTCGTCTGACCTCGCCTCTTCCTCGACGAGCGCCAGGGCTAAGCCTGTTGCCAGCTCGCCACCGACAGCTCCTCGATCCGCATCGCCCTCCATCGCCCCGCCGAGCAAGACGACGTACCTCTCCATCGACACAAGACGGCACCGCTACATCTCTTCCCGCAGCCTCTCTCCCTCTTCCTCAACAACAGGAGCCGCGCGGCCACAGCACGACCTGCACATCACAGACCTCGAGGACTGTATCATCGACCTGCGATGCGCGCCGGGCCAGGATGGTGGTAGCGGCGCCTTGGAGCTGGGAGCGCTCCAGATCCGCGGGGTCCGACGGTGCATCATCCTCACCGGCCAGGTCAAGGGAAGCGTCATGGTCCACGACATCAGCGACTCGTGGCTCCTCGTCGAGAAGTGTAGACAGGTGCGTCTCCCCGCTCCCCCCCCCCGCACGTCAGCAGCATCGGCGAACGAGTGACTGAACCCGATTCCACCTCGCACGCCAACCCCTCTCCCCCCTACATGTGCACGCCCATCTCAGTTCCGCATGCACACCTCGTCGGCCACGCTCGTCTCTCTCGCGACGACCGGCTCGATAGCAACCATCGAAGGATGCCGGGACCTCAGGTTCACCACGGGCGTCCCTCACTCCCTCGCTGCTCCTCACAGCGCAAAGACCGAGGGCAAGACGGAGCTGCAGGTGCAGGACTTTGACTCGCTCCTCTCGTCTTCACACCTCAAGGTCGGCGGCGGCGGCGGCACGGCGAGTGAGCCATCAAAGAACTGGCGCATCGTCGACGAAAGCACCATAGAGGTCGGGGTGCAGCTGCTCCACGCATCGCTGCAGGGCCTGGCTGGCAGCGATGAGAAGGCCGTCGAGACGAAAGGGATCGCAGCGATCTTCGAGGGCCTGTCAATCCCTACCTAGCCTTTCCTCTACTTCCCCGCTGAACTGGTCACGATCGAAACGGTTGTCTCTACATCACTGCGTGCGATTGCGATTTCCGTGGTTGGGCGTCACCTCCCGTCTCGTTCTGTCATCTCGTTGGCGAGGTGCTCGTCGATGGCGGCGCGGGTGCGGCATGGCGACCTCACTCCTTGTTCATGATGAACGTGACGCCGTCGCGGAGCGGGAGGAGGACGACCTCGACGCGCTCGTCGGCCGCGACGACCTTGTTGAACTCGGTGATGGCGTCGGCGTTGGGCTTGCTGATCTCGTCGTCAAAGTCGACAATCTCGGGCGCAAACGGCGAGCCCTGGACGGCAGCAGGATACACGGAGAGGTGGGAAGAAGAGGGAGAGGGTCAGCCGGGTGATCCCCAAGTCAGAGCAAGGCAGGGGGGGTCCCAGCGCTGGACTGACCTTGTACAGGGTGTTGTCGACGACGAGCAGGCCGCCCTTTTTGAGCAGGTTCTTCTCCATGATCGTCTTGTAGTACGAGAGGTATCCGGGCTTGTCGGCGTCGATAAAGATGATTTCGAACTGGTGCCCCTCTTCTCCGATCTTAACGAGGCTCTCGGCGGCACCGCCGACGCGGACGTCGATCTTGTCGCCGTGCCCGGACGCATCAAAGTGAGGCTTGACAAAGTTGGCGAGGTAGGGATCGATCTCGAGCGCAATGACCTGCGCAGGCGAAGCGGGGGGAGTGCGTTAGTCGGCCAGGGGGAGGTGAAGGGAGGAAGGAATCGAGGTCAGCCAGTCTGAGCCGTGTCTCTGTGGCGCGAACGGATTAGACGGCAGAGACGAAGGCGGCACGGCGCGGCCCTCGACTCACCTTTCCGTCCTTGGGCAGGCTGCTGGCGATGCAGACGGTGGTGGTGCCGGTGAACATGCCGACCTCGAGGGCGTTTTTGGCGTTCATGATGCGTGTCATCATGCCGACAAAGTTTCCCTCGTAGGCGCCGGCGCTCCAGGCCGGGGTGAGCTGGAACATGGTCTCGCCGCGCTTCCAGGCGCCCTCCCAGTCGTTTTCGGCGGTGGCCTTGAGCAGGGGCTTCTGGATCTCGGGCGCCTTGCTCGACACCTCGTCGAGGTACGGGTCGAGGTTGGACAGGAGCTTGTGGGCCAGCTTGAGCTTTGCCAGCGACGATGACGAGAGCGGCTGGCCCTCGCTGCTCGACGAGAGGATCGAGGCGAGCAGCTTGGACGCCGAGAGGAGCGGCGTCTCGGCGGGGATTCCGTCGCTCATCTTGCCTGTTTACCGGGGGGTGGTGGGGAGACGGATGGAGGGGGAGAGGGGACGATAGGAGACGAGAAAGGAGCGAATGCTACGTCGTGGCGGGTCGTGAGGGACAGATGGATGGGGACGGTGGTGGTGGTGGTGGGGACGAGGCACAGCAGAGGGTTCGCCAAGGCTCTTATGGCAGCTGCCCAGTTCGCGGTCGACGGCCCTCCCTGACGAGATGCCACGCAAGCGAAGCAGGACGATCTCGACACGCCCAGCAGACAGGCCGTTAGTTACCTAGCTAGTTAGGTTGGCCAGCCCAGCAGGCCAGCAGCAGGTCCTTGACAGGCGGACCAGGCCGGCCAACTCGAAGTGATGAGGGCCCCAAGAAGGGACGGACAACGCAAGCAAGGGCCGTGCGTGCTGCAGATGTGCCCTGCCTGCCTGCCTGCCTGCCTGCCTGCCTGCCTGGCCTGGCCTCCACAGCTGCCTGGACCCTGACCGACGACCAACACCCGCCCTCCCGCCCCGCCCCGCCGCCGCTGCCTGCCCGCCCCCCCCCCCGCCGGTAACGCGACAGGCCATCGTCGAGTGCAGCCGTCTGACACATCAGACAGCGCCCCCCATCCTACCTTCCCGTGCATCGTCGCTGCCCCTCGAGAAATTCCACGACTGCCATGGCCGTAAGCAGGGCGAGCAGCATCGGTGGTGATGACCAGACGCAACAACGAGCAGCAACGAACAGCACTTCTTTCTCTTCTTTGATATTATCGACCAGCGTCCTCTTGTCCAGCCACCTCTCCGGCGCAGCGGCCGGTCCCGCTAAAGCCTCATCGTCCTTTGTCGTCTCTCTTCATCGACGGGCCGCGATGCCGCGCTTCTGCAAGCCAGCCGGCACTAATCCTCGTCGCCCCTGGGCCGGACCTCAGGAGATGGGCTCGGGGGCAAGCGACGTGACATTGTCGGCGTCGCGCTTGAACTCGGTCTTGGCCGTGGCCGCCTTTCTCGCCGCCCTGGATGCCGTCTCGGCATCGCTATCGGCGCCCGTCGTGTAGCCCGTGGCAAAGCCGGCGCCCACCTCCTTGGCACGCTTCGGACGCCCGCTGATCCGGTCGAGGTACCGCCCGGCGCCCGCCTGGAACGACAGCAGCACCGCGGCCGTCAGGAGGTGGCCGTAGAAGTAGACGCTCTTCCAGCCCCGGATCGACGCGCCAAAGTCGAGCAGCATAAACGGCGCCACGGCGTAGTTGAGCGTCAGCTGCACGCCTGCCACCGACACGGCGCAAAACAGGAGCTGCGGCACCGTGTAGCTGCCCAGCGTCGAAAACGTCGGGTTGGGCGCGCGCGCGTCCTTGAAGACCATGGGCCGCAGGTGCTTGCGCAGCGTCCTCGCCGCCGACTGCATAAAGCCCGCCAGGAAAAACGACAGGTAGTATCCGGGCGCCAGCCCGTGCCAGAAGGCCGACGTGAGGAACGTCGTCATCGTCGACTTGAACCCTGGCTTCTTTCCCGGACGCGCGATCCGCTTGTAGACGTTGTTGCGCAGCCACACGTTGGTGTTCATGTTCCACGCGTCGAGCAGCTCCTTCCAGTTGTTGGCAAACTCGATGCTGGCAATGTCGACGTTGCGGCACCGGTTCCACTTGGTCTTGCCCGTCGCCGGGTCGATGCCGTAGTAGCCCAGACCGGACATGACGCATGCTCCCTACGCGGGGATTGGCGCAGCGGTGCGTAGGCAGAGCATCGTGTCAGCTATCGAGCGATCTGGATCGAGTCAGCCGCACCGGTGCCCTCCCCGCTACTCACGTTCGTCAGCGACCAGATACCATAGTACTTAGTCCTGGCCATGAAGCCCGCGGCCTGGACGTAGAGGATCCTCTGGTACCACTTGTAGCCGTCAAAGCCGCCGTCGGCGCCAATCAGCCGCTCGTAACCGTAACCCGGGGCGATGGTCGAGTAGATGGCCATGAAGCCCAGCCCGATGGCCAGCTCCTGGCAGGCGGCGGCGATGCGGCCGGGAGGCAGACGCTGGCCGTCCTCGTTGGCCTTCTCCTTGCCCTTGGGCGAGGCGAACAGGGAGCCGTTGGACCAGGCGCGGTAGTCGGCGAAGCGGGTCGAGGGACCGATGAGGACACCGGGGGCGTAGAAGCTGTGCAGTCGCAGGTCGAAGCAATGCTCGAGAGGGTTCAGCACGTGTCGCCGCTGCTCGAGCGCCAGGCTAGCGCCAGCTGGACCGGCCCGCACTCACATGTAGCCGAGGAACTCGAGCAGGCTGGGCATCTGGGTGATTCTCGTCTTCTTCTGGCTCTCGTCGCACTCGTCAGCCGTGCGGATCTGGCCGTCGAAGCAGTCCCAGGCGAAGGTGGTGAGGTTCATGGTCGAGACCATCTGCATCGAGGTGATTTCGATGGTGGTCAGAGGGATGTTGCCGAACTGACGGTAGATGTGGCTGCAAAGCAGGAGCGAAGCAATGCGAGTAGTGAAGCATGACGGCGAGATCAGCACAGATGACCTCGAGCGACTTTAGACGACCTGGCACGGCGCAGACTCACTTGCAAGTCAGGTGGCCCATCTGGAGGCCGAATACGAGCCAGCCCATCTTCCTACCGCCGATTCTGTTGAGGCAGATGAAGTAGGTGACCAAGCTGGTGGCGACCAGCTGGAAGAAGCCCCATCGCAGCTCAAGGATGGGGACAAAGAAGATGGTGGAGACGACCAGGCTGTAGAGGTGCTTGGCGTTGGGGGACGGCAGCCGTGCGTAGACGGTCGACAGCGGGAAGGAGGCGAGCAGGCAGACAAAGAGCTGGAGGAGAGGAGAGAGAGAATCGAGGCGGGCCACAGCAGGTCAGCCTCAGCCTGTTTGACGCATAGGGTGCGGCTTGCGACGGGGGGCTCACCTTGATGTAGTCTACGGGAGCGCCTGCCGCATCGGCGAGGCTCTGAAAGGCGCTGTTGAACATGCTGGGTCGGAGATGTGGCAGGTACCGTTCCGCCAGGATAGAGCGTGGAGCAGGAGGAGTGCAACGGCCGGGCTTGAAGGAGAGAGAAGAGTGCCGACCCGGCCAGTCGACAAACGTAGATGGTGGTAGGTATATGTACAGCGAGCGAAGGCAGGGGAGGGGAGGGGAGGACACAAGAGGTCGAGGCGAGGGCGGGGCAGAGAGAGAGAGAAGTGAGACCTGACCCCGCTCTCTGCTGGGGAAAAAAGCTTCTTGCGTCACACCCTCGCTCACGCCCCTCGCCCTCGCCTTGCCCTGGCCCTTCGCTGTCGCCGTCTCGCTCGCTTCAGCCCGCCCCCAGCGCCCCAAAACGCCGCAGGGCAGCTGGGACATGAAAATTGCCAAAGAGCAGCTGAGCGCAAAGGCAGACGGACAGGCTACGGCGACCGAGCGAGCGGAGCGGGGCAGAAGCCACAAGCGAAGCGCTCGCATGGCCAAGGCGGGTCATCATCGTCAAGCCGGCCCCACCATTCTAGGTCAGGCAGGTAAGTTAGACCTAGAGATGCTGGTCCTTCATCCCCTACCGCCGATACGGGCAAAGTCACCTGTGTACGTGCGAGCAAGAGTCTAGCAAGCGCGAGCGACGTAGAGTAGAGCGGCACGTCGAGCCGGCTCACCACCAGGCACCCGGTACGCCACCGGCTTCAAAGAGTACGGCGAGGCAGGTGATGAGGCCCCCTCTTACGGCCGCTGAGGGGCTATATTGATGCTCGACACAACGAAAGCCTTCATCACTGTCCCCACGCTCCCTCGACCTGCACTTCTTCTCGACTAAAGCCAAGGGGGCCGCACGACGAGTAGAGGACCAGAATATCGCGCTGGCGTCCGACAGGCGTGGACCGCGAGGCATGCGGGCGAGGGACTGATGATCCCAGATCGGCGGTGGATGGAAGTAAGCACGGCGCAGAGCAGTCGAGCGGGAAACTGTGTCGAGGTTGGCTGGTGATGGGTTGCAGAGAGTCTAAAAGTACAAAAGAGCTGGCGTAGCTTGGCGAGATGGTCGGAATAGAGAGGACGCTCGAATGCCGCGCTGGTCCAGCATGGCTTGGGCTAGCTCAGCGAGTGGCGCCAGGCGCAGGAGGCTGGTCCCTGTAGGTGCGACGGGAGCGGGCAACGCGATACGGATGCAGAGAGCGGTCGCGCCACGAGGAGAACCGAGACTCCTCTGCCTCACTTCTTCTTGCCCTTCATGGCAGCACGTCGTCCCTCGCCTGAAGAGGAGATAAGAGGGAGATGCAAAGGATGGTGTATCAGCCACGGAACGTTCGGTAGGAGCTTATCGCCTCGAATGTCGTATCGCGAGCGGCCACTCACCCTTCTTCGGCGGGCCCTTTCCGAGCATCTTCTTCCTCTCGACGTCCTCGAGCCTCTGAAGCTCCTTTGGGTCCTGCAGCCTGCCGAGGCCGGGCACGAGCAGCTCCAGGGTGCGGTAGTTTACGGTGGGCGGGTAGTAGGTGAGCATCGAGGGGCCCTGGAGCCTCTGGCGAAGCACCTTGGCGCCGGTGCGGGCCATGGTGGGGTTGTGGGTGGTGCTGAAGATCTTGCACTGGAGCGCCTTGAGCGAGGCCAGCGCCGAGCTGGATGGTGCCGAGCGCATGGTGGGCTGTGTCTGGAGAGCGGCGGTGCCGAGGGCAGGGGGTCGGTCGGGTGCTGTTGTCGTCGTCGTCGTCGGAGGAGGAGGAGGAGGAGGAGGAGGAGGAGGAGGAGCGCGCGATGTGGCCGGGGTCCGGCGTCTGTCTGCCGTGCGGGCGTCGGCGAGAAGAAACGTTTTTTCGGTTCCGAGGGTGGCCATTAGCACGCGCCTGTGCCCTCGCTGGCGACTACTTCTTGGCTCTGCGAGGCCGCATTCAGCCGCGGCTGACCGGCATCGGCACGACGCCGTGGGCCAAGCAAGCCAACTTCAGCCCAACGGCCTGCCGGCCTGCCTGCCTGCCTGTGCCGCCCATGGCCCGGGCCCAGGACGGGCTCCACACGCCCAGTCTTGCCGCACCTGCCGCCGCACCAACCTCGCCCACCTCTTCCCTTTCTCTCCCGCCCTTCCATCCTGTTCTCCTTGCTTCTCACCCACCACCACCATTTGGCAGCTCTCGACTACCCACACATCGCGCGACGAAACCGACCACTCTCCCTCCGGTACACCGCTTAGCCCTCCTTGCTTTTCGACTCTCTCGTTAGGCCGACTTCACTGCCTCCGTCCTCCGCTTCTTCAAGATGGCGTATCCAGGACAAGGCGGTCATCACTATCAACAGCAGCAGCACCAGCAGCAGTATGGCGGAGGTGGATTCCCGCAGCCTCCGCAGGGGTACGGCCAGCCCGGCTATGGTGCACCACCTCCGCAGCCCTATGGTGGCGGCGGCGGGTACGGGTGAGTGATGCAGGGGCTGTCATGCACCGGCCAGGGGAAAAGATCCCTACAGCTCCGCTCCGATGCCTTTACCGCTGCTGCCGCCTCGAGGACGTTCCAGCTGACGTGCAGATCATCTTCATCTTTGGCTTCGCAGCGGCTACGGTGCCCCTCCCGGCCCGCCTCCTCCCCAGGGCGGCGGCTACAACCCGCAGTTTGCACAGGGCCAGATGAGCTACGGCTACGCTCCGCCGCAGGGCCAGGTCGGCCCGCAGGAGTACTCGACCGGCACCGTCCACTACAAGCCTCAAGGCGGCATGATGGGCAACCAGCGTTACGAGTACTCGAACATGCAGGGAAAGCGCAAGGCGCTCCTGATTGGCATCAACTACTTTGGCCAGCGCGGCGAGCTGCGCGGGTGCATCAACGACGTCAACAACCTCAAGCGCTTCCTGGTCTCGCGGGGCTACAAGGAGGACGACATGGTCATCCTCACCGACGACGCCCGCGACCCGCGCAGCATGCCCACCCGTCAGAACATCATCGCCGCCATGAACTGGCTCGTCCGCGGCGCCAAGCCCGGCGACGCCCTCGTCTTCCACTACAGCGGGCACGGCTCCCAGGCGCCGGCGAGCCAGGGCGACGAGGCAGACGGGATGAACGAGACCATCTGCCCGCTCGACTACGAGAGGGCCGGCATGATCGAGGACGATGTGAGTGGGCAGGGCAGCCGCGACAGGCCTGGTATAGCTGTCTGTGAAGCTGCGACGATGCTGACAGCGCTTTCCTATCTCTTCTGCAAAATCTACGGCCCCCGCAGGAAATGCACATGCTCATGGTCAGGCCCCTGCCGGTGGGCTGCCGTCTGACTGCCCTGTTCGACTCTTGCCACTCGGGTACCGCCCTCGACCTGCCCTACGTCTACTCGACCTCGGGACAGATCAAGGAGCCCAACATCGCCGCCGGCGTCGGCAAGGGCGTGCTCGGAGCGGCCATGGACTACGCGCGCGGCGATGTCGGCGGCATGGTCAAGGGCCTCTTTTCGACGTTCAAGACGGCCAAGAACACCAACAGCGCCGAGGCCATTACGCGCGAGACGCGGAGCAGCGGCGCCGACGTCGTCATGCTGAGCGGCTGCAAGGACTCGCAGACCAGCGCCGACGCCACCGAGGCCGGCAAGGCCACGGGCGCCATGAGCTGGGCGTTTATCAAGGTCATGACCGAGGTGGGTGCCGATGGGCGAAGGCCGGAGCTGCCCAGGCTGTGGGCTTTCGGAGAGAGAGAGACTGCGTGACGACTGACGACACGCGACGCCCTCCGTCTGGGTTTGCGGCTCTGCCCTGCTCTGCGACGCACGCAGTACCCGCAACTGACCTACAACCAGCTGCTGAATGCCACACGAGACAACCTGGCCGAAAAGTACAGCCAGAAGCCTCAGTGAGTGTCGGCAGGGGCCCTTGGAGTTGTCGCTGATGGACGTCGCCGCTTAGGTGCTAGCTCTTGCGCTAACGCACCCTTCCTTGTCCCGCCCCCTCGGCCTCCGTCGCCCGAACAGGATGTCGTCGAGCCACCCGATCGACATGGACCTTCTCTTTGTGATCTAGTCGGCCGCGTTCTTGCTAGACCTGGTCAATCCCATCAGCGCCATATCTCTTTCCCGCTCTGAGCTGTTGCTGCTGCACGCGCCCACCCATCACGCTTCCGACTGCACCGCTCTCTGGTATCATCTGCTTGCATTTTCGCCTGCCGGTCACATCCTAGCTACCGGCGCTACACTGCCGTCACCTCGACTATCCTGACCTCCCGCCGCGCGCTCAGGCGAGAAGGCTAGCGCGAAAGTGGCTGATGGCCTCGTTGGCGGCGTCCTGCATGCAGCGGGCGACGTATCCGTCCTCCTCGTCGCCGCGGGTGGCGAAGCCGTGGGTGGTGTTGGGGTAGTAGACCCACTTGACAAAGGTGCCCTTTTCCTTTGTGAGCTTCTTTGTGACGTCGATGGCGGCGTTGCGCTTGTCGTCGGGGAGCATCTCGTCGTGCTCTGCGCAGAGGAAGAGCGAGGGGGCGTCGAGGTGCTCAAAGTCCGAAGTCTCGCTGACCGAGGGGTGGGCGAAGCCGATGGCGTCGACGTGGGCCGACTTTTTGGCGCGCGTCGAGCCGAGGTAGAGGCACGAGGGGGCGCCCCAGCAGAAGCCGATGGCGCCCACCTTCTTGACGCCCTTCTGCGTCGAGCGGATGGCCTCGACGACGGCCTCGACCTTGGGCCACGACGCCTCGCGCGGGTGGTACTTGCCCAGGAAGGCCATGATGTCAAACTTTTCGCGCAGCTTGGGGTCCGACATGACCTCGGTCGGCACGGCTAGAGTAGGGGCGAGAGGAGAAGAATGAGGGGAGGCAATGTCCTGGATCAGTACGGCGTCGAGTGGGCGAGGAAGCAAACGACCGGCGCCATCGTTGCATGCCATGCGCAGCCGGTCGCAAGACAAGACAGGCCCAGGCACGAGGCGGTCGGGTCGAGGCTCCGCCACGCCACTCACCCTCTCCATCGAAAAAGTCGGGCACGTAGACGCGCGCGCCGACGCCCTTTGCGTACTTGTCGGCGAGGCAGCGCGTGTTGTTGAGCCTCCATCCGAAAATGTCGGGGACGAGGAGGATGGCGACCGACGAGGACTCGTCGCCCGTCACGTAGACGTCGCGGTCGGCGAGCTTGGTCTCGGAGCCGACGGCGGTGCCCTTGTGGAACGATCCCTGTTGGTCGTCGTCGTCGTCGTGGTTATCATCGATGCGGAGAGCGGTGAGAAAGGGGAAGTGAATGGAAGAGGAGGGCGCAGTTGGAGAGCGTCAGCGGGGGGACGCGAGGATGAGGGAACGAGGGTGAGGGAAAGGAAGGAACGAAGGGGAGAGACGTACCTGCTTGCAGCACTCGGACATTGTGTATGAAGTTGAGTTGAGGGAGTGTTGGTGTCGGTGTCGGTGTGGTGGATATGAGAAGGCGATAGTAATTCTATCGAGATGTGCGTGGTTAGAGGGGGAGGGTATAGAAGGTAGCGGCGGGCAGGAAGCGCTGGCTATATATGCTCAGTGGCCCGGCTGGCTTGAGCGCTGGAGGCGGCTTCCCATCCGATCCTCGAAAGGGGCAGCGGCAGCAGCAGCAGCAGCAGCAGCAGCAGCGGAGGTGTGCGGGCGGCGAGAGCGAGATGCCGAAGGGCGGGATACGGCACGATTCGATCACGATCCACGCTTCGCTGCTGCCCTCGCTGCCTGGCCTCTCGCTTGGGCGGGCTGGGTTGCCGGAGCCAACCCAACCCAACCCAACCCAGACGATGTGGAGGCTAGGCAGGGCCGTGGAATGACGCGCACGCACGGTCCACGCCCGCTCTGGGTTGGGCCTGCAACAGCTAGGAAAAAAGGAAGCAGGAAGCCAAGAAGCAAGAGGCTACGGGCCCGCCGGCTTCGCTGCACTGCCATCCGCGCTTAAACCCGAGCGATCTTCTCTTGCTCGTGCACCCACCCCGCTCGCTCCGTCCGGTCGGCCGTCGACCGTACCGCGTGCCCACCCCACCCCCCCCGCTGTGATTACATACGAACGCGGGCCACGAGATCGCAATCGTCCCATCGGCTTCGGCATCAGTCGGTCCAGCCATCAACTCCCGCCATCACCGTCCACCAACCGCAGGGTCAACGGCCGGCAGGCTTCCGTCGTCCCAAGCAGCATTTCTTATCCACGCCCCCACGCCCCACGCAGAAGCGTCCATTCGACATGACATGACGATGAGATGGGATGAGATGACCAGGTCAAGGGTGGACCAAGCGACCGAAGAAGCTCGACCTGCAGCGCGGGGAGCAGAGGGCGTCAGATACGCAACCACGACGCCGGCGGCAAAGGAGGGTGTTGTGGGGTGAGAGGGGTTGGGAGCGGGATGGAAGGGACAGCAGGGGTACAGTTACATTCGGGGGAACCGGACAAGGCAGTCGGAAACAAGACTGGAAGAGGAGGCGATCCTCGCAAAGGCTAGCTTTCGAGGGGCCCAAGAAACCTTTTCGGCTTGTCGCAGCGGCAATGGCTGGGGAGCGAGTCATGCTGGGGGAGGAGACAGGGCCTATGTTGGTGAGTTTTCGTTTTTGCTTTTGGCTGGGCGGTACGGTCATGGCATGACTTGACTTGGCTTGGCTTGGCTTGGCTTGGCTTGGCTTGGCTTGGCTTGGCTTGCTGCGGTGCGTTTGCGGGGCTGCTGATGTTGTGGTACAGGGGGCTTGGTTGGTTCTGGTGCGTACGGCCTCGTCGTCAGAGACGAGTCCGCCCTTGACTTCCTCGACTTGGCTCAATCCCTCGCCACGGCTTCTCATCTCATCTTCGCCGCTCGTCGTGCGCTCTGGCACCGTCAGGCTCGTCGACATGGAGACATTGCTCCGGACCGCTCAGTTGCCGGCGGCACCACCACGTCGGACGGCAGCGCCTCCGCGTCCGCCAGCAGCTCCACCGCGGCCACCATTGGCAGCGCCACGGCCAGCACCGGCGCCGCCACGGGCGCCACCAGGGCCACCCGCACGCGGGCCATCGCGGCCGCCCTGGGGACGGTCAGCGGGCTTCTTCTTCTCCTCGACGACAACCTTCCAGCGGTCCTTGCCGACGACGATGCCGCCCTGGCCGCCCATCGACGTCGGCAGGCTCATAGCGACCGCCTTGCGGGCGTGCTCGGCGTTGGCAAACTCGGCAAACGCGCAGGCGCGCGTCGGGATCACCGAGCACTCCTTGAGCGGGCCAAACTGGCCCTCGAGCGCCTGGCGCAGCGAGGCCTCCTGGACGTGCTCGGCGACGACATTCTTGATAAAGACGTGGCCGTGGTTCTGGCCAGCGCCCGACGCGGGCGAGGCAACACCGGCACCACCTGCCTTGCCAACTGCGGCGGCGGCACCACCGGCAGACTTGTTGCCAGTGGCGGCGGCAGCGGCAGCAGCAGCGGGTCGCGACGACGACACACCCTTGACCTCGGCCGACACGGTCGAGCCCCAGCGGCTGACGTCGGAGGCGGCCAGGTTGGCCCAGGTCTTGGGCTTGGGCGGA